AGACCTACTTTTGCTGAGGCTGCTGCTACACTGGTCGTCTTCTCTTGCATTTGTTGTTGCGTTTGGGATAGAAGGGCCAGATCATCTGCGAAGTCTAGATCGTCCAACTGCATCCTAGATGTCCATTGTATCCCGTGCTTCCCTTCAGACGTTGACGTCTTCATGATCCAGTCGATCACCAGGAGAAAGAGAAAGGGTGAGAGTAAGCAACCTTGCCTGACACCGGTCTTTACCTCGAACGAATTTGTCAACTGTCCTCCATGCACAATTTTGCAGTTCAATCCATCATAGGAATTCCGTATGATATTGACAATCTTCTTGGGCAAGCCGTAGTGTCGAAGAAGCTTCCATGGTGTTGTCCTATCCACTCTGTCAAATGCTTTTTAGTAGTCAATGAAGTTGATGTAGAGTGATGAATTCCATTCAATTGATTGTTTCACAATGATCCGTAGAGTTGCGATTTGGTCTGCACACAATCTATCCTTACGGAATCCAGCCTGTTGGTCACGAAGTTGCGCGTCTACGCAGTCCTTCATCCTGTTTAACAATACCCTGTTGAAGACTTTTCCCGGTATTGAGAGAAGAGTGATGCCCCTGTAGTTATCACACTTGCTGAGATCGCCTTTCTTCGGTATTTTGATCAGAAGTCCTTCTTTCCAGTCTGTTGGTACTTGTTCCTCATCCCAAATCTTATTGAAGAGAATGTGGAGTATCCTTGCAGTTACCGCCACATCTGCTTTCAGTGCCTCTGCTGGAATGTTGTCTGGTCCTGCTGCTTTGCCGCTCTTACAGTTGTTTCACGTTTCCTTCTCTTGCAGCCTTTTCCGCCGTCATTACTAAATCCTCCACATATTTAGGTTGGACGGTTCTGATGCTCCTCTTCACCTGCTTGTTTACTTCTGTGTATGTAGCTTGTGCCTTGACTTTCTCTCCCCTTGCCTGGCTGGTATTGATTGCTACCTTCTTGTTTCTCCTTTCTTGAATCTTATCCAGTGTCTCAACAATGGTCCGTTCTTTGTGGTTGTGCTTCTTGTGGCCTAGAACCTCACGACATGTTGGGGTGATTGCCTCTTTTATCCCTTTCCAGTTACTCTCCATAGTAGTTCCCTCTCCTTTGAGTAGACCATGAAAGGCCTGGAACCTATTGCTGAGGACTACCTTGAATTTGTTGAGTTTGTCAGTATCCCGAAGAAGAACCATATTAAACTTTTGTGATATTGTCCGCCTCATTGTAATGGTTGGTAGGCTCATAGCATTGTATGACGTTCATTGCAATGCCCTATTTCTTTGTTTTGGGGGAGGATTTGATAGTCCTGTGTCCATGAGATTCGCATCCTATAATTGCTGTTTGTGATTGTTTTGATAGCATCAATGCAACTCCTTGTGTATGTGGGGCATTTTCTACTTCATGGCCAGAGTATAATAGAAGCTTCCCTGAAGCAAGTCGTTGTTGTCCAACTTCCGTTCAATGTGTTTCACTGGTCTCAAGCACCTCTAGGTTGTATCGCCTCATTTCTGCAACAATTCGGAAGACTCTCTCAGTCTCCTACATTGTATGAGCATTCCATGTACCTAAATAAATGGTTGCTCTGGTTGTTAGAAGAGGCATTGGCTTTATGGCTTCCGAAGAAACTCGGCTTTCACCATGGGGCATTATATCTTTCTTAAATGAAGGCCTTCTAATTCCCAGGACAGAGTTTAAATGGTTTGAATTATTCCTTATGCTTAGCGTTTTTTAGCGAGTTAGTTTTCTACGGGATGGGCTCGCCAACACCACGTCCAACCCTCCTCCTTTATCCGAGCTTGGGACTGGCAGTAGCCCAGAGGGGCTTTAGGCGAAGTTTTGTTTTTATCTATGGACATAATAATACAAACAGATCGAGACGTAGGAGCATGTTATGTAGTGTCTTATGTGCAGTAATCTATTAAGTGTTCTGGAAACCTTATTCTTCTTCCTAAACGCATTGTTTCAAGTCGGGTATCAGATGCTATCAAAGTGTCGTCGTGATTGTTGATTATCGGGCAAAGTGTAGTGATTGTGAGACTCGTGTCTTTTGATTGTACGGAAGAAAAGTCGACACGAATATAGTTGCCCTCTAAATACGAGGCTTCGAGGCTATCGATGCTGATGCTTTCGTTTTTTTCCGTTCTTGAGAGCGGAGCATTAGACTATGACAGAATCCTACCGACCCGTTTGTTTGTGGGTAGTAGGCAGTCGCTCGGGATCGTGTGATTCCTAATAGTGTAGCCAGACAACGATAAAGTCTAGGTTCGAAATGGCGTTCACGGTCTGTAGTGATAGTGGAAGAGCAGCCGAAGTTTGCTACCCATCGTTCGACGAAGACAACGACCACTGTTTCAGCATTAATGTTATTAACGGGCACTGCTTCTGGCCATCGAGTGCAACGATCTGCACAGGTTAAGGGATAAGAGTAATAATTTGGATCTGGTAAGGATTCTACCAAACCTCGATGAACACGGCCGAAACGAGCGTCCGCAGTTTTGAGCGAGCCTAAGGGTCATTTGTTGTGTCTAATCACCTTAGATTTCTGGCAGCTGACACAGGAGCGTGCCCACTCCCTCACGTCTTTATTCATACCAAAATCGGTCTGCTATGAGCTTGATGATTGCACGAACACCTGGATGAAAAAGCTTGTGCAACATCTTGAAGACGTTGTGTCGATAGTGTTTCAGCTCTATTGGAAAATACCTATCTGCTTAATAAATAGTTTCAGGGTTTGGGAAGATAACTTGTTCTGAAGATCAGTGTCTTCTTTTTGAAGTTGGGCGAGTTTAAGAAGTCCGATCCTTCGGAAACTGTTCAAGGAAGCTATACGAGACAGGGCGTCTGCAAATACGTTGTTTTCTCCAGAAATGTGTTGTATATCGGAAGTGAACTGAGAAATGTAGTCCAGTTGTCGAGATTCTTGAGGTGAGTACTTGCCTAAAGATGATATTAAATGGAAGGTAAGAGGTTTGTCATCTGTGAAAAAGTAAATTCTCTCCTTCGACAGAGTGTTGAATGTACCGTACAGCACAATATAAGGTTAGGAGTTCCCCACCGGAAGCGCTATACCTAGATTCAACGTCTAGCAGCCGTCTCAAAAAGAACGACAAAGATTGCCCGGTGTGGTTAACCCATTGTTGTATGACTCCTCCGAATACCTGATTGGATGCGTACACTGACATACTAGTGGATGTTTTGGTGTCCAGGTGTACGTGCAATGTTGTTTTTGCCGATAAGCTCCTTAACTGTAGATAATACATTCTTCGCGATATCGTCCAAATTGATGGATTTCGCGTTTCCACGAAGTTGATCGATTAAAGGTCTCATAAGAGACTTACCAGGCGTTAAACGTGCGTAATTGCTTGATTGTGCTCGGTTCTGAATGTTCACAGTAATGCTGTGTTTTAGTGGTCGTTCGAAGACAAGGTCTAGATGCTGAAGATGTGATTCTCTGTCCGGACTTCCTATCAAGCAGTCATCAACATAGGCATGTACTGTGTTAGGATCTCGAAGAACGTCATCGACGAATCTCTGGATAGTTTGTGCAGCATTTCTCAAACCAAATGGCATGCAAACATCCGTAGATTTTGAAAGGGGTGATGATAACAGTTTTAGGAATATCGTCAATAGCCATGGGAATTTGGTTATGTGCTTCAACCAAGTCGATTTTCGAAAGAGTCATATCTTTAAAGACAGCTGTCAAATCCTGAATGTGCGGAAACAGGTAACGGTCGGGACTGGTTTTTGCATTCGATCGCCTATAGTCACAAGTTGGACGTCAACCATTGCCCTCCATTTTAGGGACTATGTGCAACGGAGATGCCCATGGGGTGTTTGATGGTCGGATGATTCCTAAGTCTATCATGTGGTCGAATTCATTCTTAACCAATCTCAACTTTCCGGGAGCTAGTCAGTGCGCTTTCGAGAATACAAGCCATTTCGACTCATCCTACCCATCCCTATGATTGGATGAACAAGTGGTTTAGTTTCAACAGCTACGGATAAATAAACGTGAAAATCCAAACACTTTATATTCAAAACTATCTTCAGTAGAGCAGCCTAAGATCTTATAGAACACTTGAAGGACTTTTACAAGACGATATACAGGCACTTCAGGAGGATCTGACTCGACTCCAAAGTTGGACAGATAGTAATAGACTTACTTTTAACACATCAGAATGTAAAGTAGTCCATCTGCTACATGTCGCAGACTACAGTTATAGCTTGATAAAAACTCCTCTTTAGTAGTATCCCAAGTAGAAAAAGATTTAGGAGTCCTGGTGCCCCATGATTTAAAGTCTTACGCTAACTGTGACGAAAATGCCTTCCGAGCAAACCTTGCACTGGTAACGTTGAAGCGCATTTTTGGACAGTTCGACGGAAGAACTTTCCATATAATTTTCAATAGTTTCATCCGTCCCCAATTAGAGTATGGAGACATAGTACTTCCCCCCTCACTCCAAAAGGATAAGGACACTTTGGAGAGTATCAAACGGCGAGCCACGAAATCAGTTCGAGGACTCAAATCTGAATCTAGACTTTTACCCATTAGAGTATAGGCGTCTTAGAGGTGATTTATTAATGGCTTATAGTATTCTCAACACTTCTGGACATCCTCTTAAACAACTACTTAAGCTTAGTTCGAACACTAACCTAAGGGGTAACACCCAGAAACTGGAGACAAAACATAGCAAAACGGAATGTAGATATAACTTCTATTCCTTAAGAGTTTTCAAATGCTGGAACTCGCTGCCGGCCGAGCTAGTCCAAGCGACTTCTCAGGAGTCCTTCAAGAGGCAACTTGACCTATTCTTAAGGACAAAGGACAGCATCATACTATGATTTACCAATTTCGTTTTCCTCTTTTATTGTTAACATACCCAGGTTCCTGCCTGGAGGATTTGTTGACCCCCTGCTACTAGACACGAAAGCTTGTTAAGCGAAAGCTTCTTCTATTCCGTCCACAACCATTTGAACCATTTAAAGCATTTGAGCAAAGTCTGAAGGTTGAGCATAACGTGGCGGTTATACAAAAATGGGTTCCGAGGGATTTCTTGGACTTGGTTTAAATGAAGAAGATGAGAAACTGCTAAAGCAGTTATTGGAGTGTGATTGCGGAATGAAAACAATACTAGCCTTTGTTAGTTCAAGGTTGTTTAGGCCACTGACTTCTTGGGAAATCAAGATACTTCGCAATCAAGTTTTCCCTGGTTTGATTGACTTCATGAAATTATCTATATTAAGGTTCCAAGAAACTTTCGGACGTACTAGATGAAATACGTAAAGATTCTATTGTGTTCGTGGAGCAGTGTGACGGTGAGATTACTCAAGTCTCTTTGTCACACTATGAACAGATCGAGTTATATAAGAGGTTCCCAGAAGTTCTTAGTTTCAGTGTCACCTACAACGCTTGTCTCGTTGGGTGAGTGTAAAGTATTCTTTCCAACTTCTTAGGTTTACTATTTTCCAGGTAGCTGTAACAGATGGTCTTCTATGTACAAGACCCATCATGTTTTCATTACATTCCACAGAACAAACAGAAGATCTGTGCGTTTTGTTAAAGCATTTCCGTGAAATTTTTAAGGATGTTAGCTCAACCCTAACAGTAGCTGTAGATTGCCCAGTTTCTAAACCGGAGTTGGTGCAGGAATTCTTTCCAACTTCAAGAATTGTTTTGAGTTCGTCATACGTTAGAAAGGTCTTTAAGAGAAAGGTATTATAAATTCTCCTTTAACGTACAAGTAGTTTAAAAGTCCCGTTGCAAACAAAATTTTTGCTGGGTTGACATCTACGTTATGTCCAAACAAGTAAATAAAAACTTTATCAAACCTTTTCAGATTTAAATCTGATCTACAAAATATGAAGAAGTTAGATTCGGAGGTTTATGATTACGTCATTCAACATTGGATCCCTATAAAAGAAATGTGGGTGCCAGCGTTCTTACAAAATGTTGTTACATTAGGTACGAAAGTCAATGGTGTAGTAAAATGCGTTCATCCGCGTATACGAGAAGCACTTAAAGAAAATAACTCTCTGAAAGATTGCTTGATGGCTTTACATAAGGAAGTTAAAAAATACTGTAACCTCTTAGAAAATGAGACTTCTCTTCGCCTTCTCAAACACAAAAGGTTCAATGTAGACGAAGAGTTACATGAATTTCTCAATCAACTCACAGATTATGCTTCTGATAAAACCTACAACGACATCGTACGCGAAAGTGACATCACCATTGAACAAGTTGAGGACGATTGCGTATTTTGTTCAGATGATGGGAATTCTTACAGAGTGGATAGAAATAATGGCGTGTGTTCTTGTTCACTAAATTCAGTTGAGTTGTTACCATGCAGACATCTCATGAAAGTCCACTTTTCTATGGGTTTGCATACAGGTAAGTTGGTTTAAAATTTATTCGGCATCTAGGTACACCTTGTAGATACCCGCGGTGGCTTAGATCTCATAATCTTCAACCACTATCAACTGCTCCGACGAGGGATAAGCGAATTGACGTCAATAGTGCTATGGCAATGGTCATTAGAAAATTAAAGATGTTACAAGACCAGTGTTCACCGACTGTCGTTTTCGAAACTGTCAATCGAATAAATGCCATCATCGAGAAATCGACCACGGAAAATTTATGTATATCTCCCACCTTATCAGATTCCTTTTAAATTAAATACTATCTATTTGTAACATTTGGACGGCGCTTGAGTCAGTCATTTGACCGAGTAATATCCATTTCTCGTTCATCTAAAAATATATTTTTTTGCTGTATAAATGATAACTGCCTCTAAACTGACTAGTTTGCAATTGACTATGTATTTGTTAAATATTTGATCCACAAAATGTACAGTATTGAAGATAAAATTTTTGTTCAACTGATACATCACATCAGGTAACGATCTACTCAAGACGAATTTTTCTACCATATAAAGGAAAAAGAAATAGTTCGAACGGTCCAACAACCAGGTAACAACTGTGTGATTTTAATATTATCAATAATATTATTCAGTTTTCTATATCTGTAATATAAAACATCACAAAACTGGACATCGAATAATGCCCGTTCACTGTATGTAACTGTATCTTGTCTTAGAAATGAGCGTGTCATCAATTACTTCAGCGAGTGGCGTTTCATAAGGCCACAATCCACGATATCTAAGTGTAAATACATGTCATATGAATACCACAGGCAATGTATCTTTCACGAATATAAACAAACATGGTATCGGATAAATCACACAAGTTTCTAGACCTTCATGTCATGTCATAAATACCAGAACATACGGAACAACGAACAACACAACACAGACTTGAAAAAACGATTACAAAGCAAAATTTTTCCAGAGTTAATCACATCATATATCATCAATCTCAAAAAACATAAAAATAGGAATATTGCTGAAGAACAATTCCAGGATACCTGATGTATCATAGCATAATGATGACCATAGGCAAAGAATGTATATATCTGTTGATGTCCCTGCCTCTGTGAAAGGGTGCGCACACACAGAGACGTACATCCAGATAGATAGAGAGACGTTTGACGTTTGAATGTTTATTGCAGAGGATGTTTGCTGTGATGATGAGTGGTCGAATGTGTTGTGTGGTAGGTGATTTCGATGTCTGAGTGTGGTTGATGAGTCAGTTTGCGAATGTATATGGTGAGAGTGTTGTGTTGTGTTGTGTTGTGTTGTGTTGTGTTATTTGGTTTGTGATCGTCTAGCGCGATGTTCTTTGTGCTATGTAGAGAGCAGTGTTGTTCGTATGATCATGCGATAGCTTGTGTCCGCGTGTAACAATATCAATGTAAGCCTATATATATATATGAAGATATGTATATATATATATATATTTCTATGACGAATGCTGGTTGAATGTGATAACATAATTGTGGTGTGAGTTGTGAGTTGAGTTTTCGCTTAGAGAGAGTGTGTGTGAGTGTGTGTGTTGAGCAGTCGGTTGGTGTTTGCTATGTGTGTTATGTGGATAAGATTTCTCCCTGTCGTTCGTGTATTGTATTCGTAGGAACTGATCTGTTCGTTTGGAGATTGTGTTATGTTAAGTCGGAGAGTGTGGTTGTGGTTATGGTTGTGGGTGCTAGGAAGACAGACTGTTGAGAGAGTGTATAATGAGTTATTTTGTTGAGTTGAAAACGAAATGTGGCAGATGTGATGTATATTTGTTTGGCGGTATTTGTTTTTGATAGTGGAGAAAGGCGTGACAATGTACTGAAACGACGAATGACTGTATGACAAATTGATTGATTGTGTGTGGTGACAAGGATGTTTGAAGTTGTGTTTGGTGTTGTTTCTGTTGCATCTAGTGGGAGTTTGTGTGTGTGTGTGTGTGTGTGTGTGAAGGTGTGTATATTTGCGATATGTTGTCGGTGAAGGAATACGAGGGGTTTGTTGTGTATTGGATTTATTTGATTGTACTGACTATGGTTTATGTTGATGAGGTGTGTCGGAGACGTGGGTGACAGTCATGAATGTTTGGTTGTTGTGTGTTTTTGGGTGTTGGTGAATATGGGTGATCGGTTTGATGCGGCATGGTATGTGAGTGAGGTCGATTGTATCTATGTGTGTGTATATATATATATATGTGTGTGTGTGTGTGTGTATCTGTCGTTGGTTTGTTGAGTGTTTGAATTTGTCTGTTAGTCGAGGTGATTGTTGTGCAAGAGCTCCACATTCCTGGTTGTTGTTCCATGGAATACTAATGACCTTGCGAAATGAATGTTCATCTGTGTTGTTGTGTGTGCCTCTGTGAAAGGGTGCGCACACACAGAGACGTACATCCAGATAGATAGAGAGACGTTTGACGTTTGAATGTTTATTGCAGAGGATGTTTGCTGTGATGATGAGTGGTCGAATGTGTTGTGTGGTAGGTGATTTCGATGTCTGAGTGTGGTTGATGAGTCAGTTTGCGAATGTATATGGTGAGAGTGTTGTGTTGTGTTGTGTTGTGTTGTGTTGTGTTATTTGGTTTGTGATCGTCTAGCGCGATGTTCTTTGTGCTATGTAGAGAGCAGTGTTGTTCGTATGATCATGCGATAGCTTGTGTCCGCGTGTAACAATATCAATGTAAGCCTATATATATATATATATATATATATATATATATATATATATATATATATATGAAGATATTATATATATATATATTTCTATGACGAATGCTGGTTGAATGTGATAACATAATTGTGGTGTGAGTTGTGAGTTGAGTTTTCGCTTAGAGAGAGTGTGTGTGAGTGTGTGTGTTGAGCAGTCGGTTGGTGTTTGCTATGTGTGTTATGTGGATAAGATTTCTCCCTGTCGTTCGTGTATTGTATTCGTAGGAACTGATCTGTTCGTTTGGAGATTGTGTTATGTTAAGTCGGAGAGTGTGGTTGTGGTTATGGTTGTGGGTGCTAGGAAGACAGACTGTTGAGAGAGTGTATAATGAGTTATTTTGTTGAGTTGAAAACGAAATGTGGCAGATGTGATGTATATTTGTTTGGCGGTATTTGTTTTTGATAGTGGAGAAAGGCGTGACAATGTACTGAAACGACGAATGACTGTATGACAAATTGATTGATTGTGTGTGGTGACAAGGATGTTTGAAGTTGTGTTTGGTGTTGTTTCTGTTGCATCTAGTGGGAGTTTGTGTGTGTGTGAAGGTGTGTATATTTGCGATATGTTGTCGGTGAAGGAATACGAGGGGTTTGTTGTGTATTGGATTTATTTGATTGTACTGACTATGGTTTATGTTGATGAGGTGTGTCGGAGACGTGGGTGACAGTCATGAATGTTGGGTTGTTGTGTGTTTTTGGGTGTTGGTGAATATGGGTGATCGGTTTGATGCGGCATGGTATGTGAGTGAGGTCGATTGTATATATGTGTATATATATATATATATATGTGTGTGTGTGTGTATCTGTTGTTGGTTTGTTGAGTGTTTGAATTTGTCTGTTAGTCGAGGTGATTGTTGTGCAAGAGCTCCACATTCCTGGTTGTTGTTCCATGGAATACTAATGACCTTGCGAAATGAATGTTCATCTGTGTTGTTGTGTGTGCCTCTGTGAAAGGGTGCGCACACACAGAGACGTACATCCAGATAGATAGAGAGACGTTTGACGTTTGAATGTTTATTGCAGAGGATGTTTGCTGTGATGATGAGTGGTCGAATGTGTTGTGTGGTAGGTGATTTCGATGTCTGAGTGTGGTTGATGAGTCAGTTTGCGAATGTATATGGTGAGAGTGTTGTGTTGTGTTGTGTTATTTGGTTTGTGATCGTCTAGCGCGATGTTCTTTGTGCTATGTAGAGAGCAGTGTTGTTCGTATGATCATGCGATAGCTTGTGTCCGCGTGTAACAATATCAATGTAAGCCTATATATATATATGAAGATATATATATATGAAGATATATATATATATATATATTTCTATGACGAATGCTGGTTGAATGTGATAACATAATTGTGGTGTGAGTTGTGAGTTGAGTTTTCGCTTAGAGAGTGTGTGTGTGAGTGTGTGTGTTGAGCAGTCGGTTGGTGTTTGCTATGTGTGTTATGTGGATAAGATTTCTCCCTGTCGTTCGTGTATTGTATTCGTAGGAACTGATCTGTTCGTTTGGAGATTGTGTTATGTTAAGTCGGAGAGTGTGGTTGTGGTTATGGTTGTGGGTGCTAGGAAGACAGACTGTTGAGAGAGTGTATAATGAGTTATTTTGTTGAGTTGAAAACGAAATGTGGCAGATGTGATGTATATTTGTTTGGCGGTATTTGTTTTTGATAGTGGAGAAAGGCGTGACAATGTACTGAAACGACGAATGACTGTATGACAAATTGATTGATTGTGTGTGGTGACAAGGATGTTTGAAGTTGTGTTTGGTGTTGTTTCTGTTGCATCTAGTGGGAGTTTGTGTGTGTGTGAAGGTGTGTATATTTGCGATATGTTGTCGGTGAAGGAATACGAGGGGTTTGTTGTGTATTGGATTTATTTGATTGTACTGACTATGGTTTATGTTGATGAGGTGTGTCGGAGACGTGGGTGACAGTCATGAATGTTGGGTTGTTGTGTGTTTTTGGGTGTTGGTGAATATGGGTGATCGGTTTGATGCGGCATGGTATGTGAGTGAGGTCGATTGTATATATGTGTATATATATATATATGTGTGTGTGTGTGTGTATCTGTTGTTGGTTTGTTGAGTGTTTGAATTTGTCTGTTAGTCGAGGTGATTGTTGTGCAAGAGCTCCACATTCCTGGTTGTTGTTCCATGGAATACTAATGACCTTGCGAAATGAATGTTCATCTGTGTTGTTGTGTGTGCCTCTGTGAAAGGGTGCGCACACACAGAGACGTACATCCAGATAGATAGAGAGACGTTTGACGTTTGAATGTTTATTGCAGAGGATGTTTGCTGTGATGATGAGTGGTCGAATGTGTTGTGTGGTAGGTGATTTCGATGTCTGAGTGTGGTTGATGAGTCAGTTTGCGAATGTATATGGTGAGAGTGTTGTGTTGTGTTGTGTTATTTGGTTTGTGATCGTCTAGCGCGATGTTCTTTGTGCTATGTAGAGAGCAGTGTTGTTCGTATGATCATGCGATAGCTTGTGTCCGCGTGTAACAATATCAATGTAAGCCTATATATATATGAAGATATCTATATATATATATATATTTCTATGACGAATGCTGGTTGAATGTGATAACATAATTGTGGTGTGAGTTGTGAGTTGAGTTTTCGCTTAGAGAGTGTGTGTGTGAGTGTGTGTGTTGAGCAGTCGGTTGGTGTTTGCTATGTGTGTTATGTGGATAAGATTTCTCCCTGTCGTTCGTGTATTGTATTCGTAGGAACTGATCTGTTCGTTTGGAGATTGTGTTATGTTAAGTCGGAGAGTGTGGTTGTGGTTATGGTTGTGGGTGCTAGGAAGACAGACTGTTGAGAGAGTGTATAATGAGTTATTTTGTTGAGTTGAAAACGAAATGTGGCAGATGTGATGTATATTTGTTTGGCGGTATTTGTTTTTGATAGTGGAGAAAGGCGTGACAATGTACTGAAACGACGAATGACTGTATGACAAATTGATTGATTGTGTGTGGTGACAAGGATGTTTGAAGTTGTGTTTGGTGTTGTTTCTGTTGCATCTAGTGGGAGTTTGTGTGTGTGTGAAGGTGTGTATATTTGCGATATGTTGTCGGTGAAGGAATACGAGGGGTTTGTTGTGTATTGGATTTATTTGATTGTACTGACTATGGTTTATGTTGATGAGGTGTGTCGGAGACGTGGGTGACAGTCATGAATGTTGGGTTGTTGTGTGTTTTTGGGTGTTGGTGAATATGGGTGATCGGTTTGATGCGGCATGGTATGTGAGTGAGGTCGATTGTATATATGTGTATATATATATATATGTGTGTGTGTGTGTATCTGTTGTTGGTTTGTTGAGTGTTTGAATTTGTCTGTTAGTCGAGGTGATTGTTGTGCAAGAGCTCCACATTCCTGGTTGTTGTTCCATGGAATACTAATGACCTTGCGAAATGAATGTTCATCTGTGTTGTTGTGTGTGCCTCTGTGAAAGGGTGCGCACACACAGAGACGTACATCCAGATAGATAGAGAGACGTTTGACGTTTGAATGTTTATTGCAGAGGATGTTTGCTGTGATGATGAGTGGTCGAATGTGTTGTGTGGTAGGTGATTTCGATGTCTGAGTGTGGTTGATGAGTCAGTTTGCGAATGTATATGGTGAGAGTGTTGTGTTGTGTTGTGTTATTTGGTTTGTGATCGTCTAGCGCGATGTTCTTTGTGCTATGTAGAGAGCAGTGTTGTTCGTATGATCATGCGATAGCTTGTGTCCGCGTGTAACAATATCAATGTAAGCCTATATATATATATATATATATATATATGAAGATATATATATATATATATATATATATATATATTTCTATGACGAATGCTGGTTGAATGTGATAACATAATTGTGGTGTGAGTTATTATTTGAGTTCTGTCTTCGAGTGTGTGTTTGTGTATGTGTTGCATATTCGGTTGACGTTTGCTTTTTGTGGTTTAGGAGATTTTCTTTTATTGTGTTTTTGTGCTCTTGTCCATGATGTTACTTCGTTTTTTCATATTATATTTTTCGTTTTTTTTGTCTGATGTTCGCTGTCGTACGTTTGTTCAGTTATATCTGGTTACTTAAGAAAATTTTGTTCGTTCTTCAGTTTTGTAATATCGTAGATTCTTAAGATAATC